TCTCTATACAACTGAGATGGACCTTGGCATAAAACTTTGTTAAAAAACAAGGACACAAGTCAAGGATGACTCAGAGCTGGTTCAGGGGCAGGAGGGGGCTAGAATATGCTCAGTATCACTTCTCCCTGTGAATCTGAGAAAGGGCAAATCCAGGAGGTAAGGGGGTAGAGAGAGAAGGGAGGAAGAAAGAAGAAAAATGGAGGGGGAAAATAAGACATAGAGACCCAAACACTTTTTACCTATTGGTTGATGTGGTCATGTGACCTCATATAGAGAACATTCCTGATTGGTTGCTTGACTTCTTCTAAATTAAAGACCCAGGAGCAAAATTAAGATTTCTGGACTGGCTAAGGCACAGTTGACAACAGATTGCCTGTCCATCCCCCTCCTCTGTGGAGATAAGAGATTAGGTGGTGGTGGTGATGATGATCAAGAATTTAAGGCCCCTTTTGCGTTTTTTCTGTTCCCAGATGAAACCTGGAAAACAGTAAAAAACTGACCTGATTGCAAGGCAAATTATTTGAGAGGAAGGAAGCTCTATTGTTGCAGGGAGAGGGAATGAGATTTAAAAGTAACTTTTTAGCCTAAAGAGCAGAAAAGGGGGTAAGGAATTCATTGAATGCCTCAAGAGACAGTGTGTAAATTTATAAAACATACCACACACTCACGCAGCCTCCACACAGAGAGAAAGGAAATGGGACTGAGATTTGTCTGGGGTCAAGGAGAATTACGGAATCAGTCTTGCTAGGGTAAGGGACCTTGGCTCTGGCTAAATTCCTGGTTAGAGACCGCTGGACTCTGCTAGGGCCCTGAGGAAACTGGAGGGAAGGGGATGAGTCAAGTTATAGACCAAAGGAAACTCCCTAATCGGTGGATTGATAGGAAAGTTTCTAGAAATCTTTAAGATCAGACTGGTGGGAAAATAGAGCTGAGGAGGGCAGGTAAAGGGGAGGGGAAAACCTGAGTTAGTTTTTCCAAATGGGCTGTTGGAAAAAAAAATCATCCAGGATCCTAAGGCTTCCAAGGGATATAAGGGTGTCTGGGAGAAGGGTGAGGGAGGCCAAATCTTTCCAGAGGACTAAGGCCTGTGATCTGAGGCCTCCTTTCTTACAAAGGAGCTTGGCTTGGACTCCCTCTGTCTTTCTGTGGGCCTCTGTCCTTCCTGAGTGGGCCTGATCTACCTTGCTCTACTTGCTTCTTTCTTCTTTTTTAGTCCTTGGGTTTGGGGGGCCGGGGTGGTGCTAACAGCATGTCCTCTCCATTCCTCAACTGCACCTCTCTGCAAAGCAGACACCAAGACCCTCTTACCCCAAGGAAGCCTCCCTCTCTGGGAAATTGTCCCCTTTGCTCCCCTTCCCTTTCCAGCTCTGCTGAATTCCTCCCAGTTCACAGGGGCCTGAATTCATATCCTGGCTTAGTTCCCTGCAGGTGATGTGAGCAAAGGGAGGGGAGTCTGCATTCACAGATGTGGAGGACACTGTACTTCCCATGTCCAGTTCCTCTCCTCCTACCTAGAAACACAAAGGTGCCCCACCTGAGAACTGCTTCCCCTTACAGCGTCCACATTGGACCCTACTAGATCCATCCCCTAGAGGCCACTCTGTCCTCTGCTTGGGAAGCTTTCCCAGCCTAGCAGATACTGACTCTACTCCCTCCCCCCATGTCCCCAGAGGCGAACTACACGCACAGAAAGAGCCCTGTAGGCCTCCTGGGGTCTCTTTTTACCCCAGCCAAAGAAGATTGCACCACCTACCAGCTAGACACCGGAGGAAGCAAAAACCACTCTGGCCCCAAAGGACTAAGACCTCAGATTTTGGAGACTGGGAAGCTATCCACCACCCCTGCCTAATAGTACAGGGGAAAGGAAAGACTTTTGGGCCAGTCCAGGCAGCAGTCTGTGGACTCTGCAGCTCCAGAGCCCTCCTTCCCTATCTTTCTCTCCAGCTTCCTCCTCTTCCTGGACTCTGGGCCACTGGCCAAAGGCTGTATTGTTCCCTTCCCTGGAACAGGGGACCCCAAAGGCACTTTGCTCTGGTCTAGAGTTTACACAATCCTACAAATACCAAACACCCCTGTCTCTGCCTCAGGCTTTCTTCCAGATCGAGAGAAGATCTTGCAGAGCTCTAAAGAGCCAAGTCTTCTTCCTGCACAAGCTGACTTGCAGCCAAAGGGAATAAGGAGTAGAGGCGGGAGGCCTGGTCTGAGGAGTCAGCTCCCCCATCTTCCTACTTCCCAGCAGCTTCCTCCCTTCTCCCATCCTTGCCTGGGGAGGCCTAGAAAGGCTTTTCCCTTTCTCCTTAAGGAGTGAGAATTACCTTTTCTCAAGGAATGGGGAGGGAGTTAGGTAAATGGAAGGAAAGGTCTCAGAAGGGGAGAGAATTAACTTACAGCGTTCGCCTGGGATTCATTTTCGAAGATGTAACCTCTCTCACCATCATCCCCAGCGCCGTAATCCCCTCTAACTGCCAGGCCCTCTGTCCTAGCATTAAACCTCACCAGCAGCTGCGTGGCTGGACAGTTAAGATTATATATGATGTAAATATATTGTGGGTTTGTCAGCTCTCCCTACACCATAAAACTTGGTTTAATGACATCACGTGGTCCCCCAAGAGCCACTCACGGGCTTGCCTTCAGGCCATTCACATAAATAACCTCCAAAAGTTTCAAACTCCTAAATTCACATAGAAGCTGTGCCTATTTCTCTAATGCTCAGTTACACTAAAAAGCCCTAGTGCGGCTCCTTTGCCCCACCCCCACACCCCCTTACAGGGTGGGGAGGAAGGAGAGGATGGATCCTTATTTATTTACTTACTTATTTCCATAAGGACCTGTCGCCTTCGAGGTCGTGTTGATATTTTTTTTTCTTCCTATTTTTTCCTCCTCTCTCCTCTAATTGCTCAGAGTGGGCCGTGTCCCCTCTTCCCACTCCCCCGGGAAGGTAAGTCATGCTTCATCCCCTTCTTTCTTGCTGCCAGAGTGGGTGGGTTCCTGGGCAAAGTGGAGAGACAAGCTTCACGGTCTCCTTGGGACCCAGAAGCCCCTCCACTCACTGCCCCAGTGCAATGCCAAACCCTGGTCCTTGGAGATTGTGCCAAGAGGCTGGCCGGTGGGACAACTACTCCTAGACACTAAGCAGAAGCTTCTGTTCAGGGAGAGATCAAGGGTCTGGGCCTCACTCCCTCCCAGCGCAGAGGAGTATTTCCGAGGCCTCTGGCTTGGGTGTCGCTGCTGGCTCCGCTAAAGCTGAGACTGAGCCTGAGCGCAGGCCTGCAGACTGCGACAGAAGGGAGGAGAGCAAGTAGGCACAGCAGCGTCTCCCCAAGCCTGGCCCAGCTGAGTCAGCTCTTCTGCACCTCCTGGGAAGGAGAGGCCCAAATCCTGCTGGGAAGAGCAGTCAGTGCACAGTGGGGCTGCTGTACCTGGCTGGGCAGGTCTGATCAGCATTACCCCTTCCCGGGCAAAAGCCTCGGGTTCTCTTCCCTGGTCTGTCCCCTGGGGAAGAAGCAGACTGGGGAGGCTGGAGTGGGTGAGTGTGGTGACACAGCCCCTTTCTTATTTAACTGCTACCCATTGGAGACGCCAGTGCTTCTTCATGCTTCACTGCTCACCCAATAGTTTTACTCAGCATGGAGAAAAAATTAAAATAACTCCCTGAAGAAAATTACACATTTTATTTCAGAGAGGGTGGGGGAGAGATTGAAAGTTGGTGCTGATGGGTTGGACTGACCCAGCTTTGTGCAAGTTGAAGAGGAACATTACCAGTGCCCTAACCTGGCCAGAGTCCAATGTGAAGGGTTAAGGGTGGTAGCCATGAGCGCAGCTCAAAAAACATGTGCTGAGATCTCCTATGTGCTAAGTGTGGGGCAAGAAAAGGCTCTCAGGTCTTCTAAAAAATGACAGACAGGTAGTTTAGGCAGCAGGACAAGGATAGAGTCAGTCCTTTTAATAAATCCAAAGAGCATCAGCATTAATAATCATAAATATTCTCCCTGCCCCTCCTCAGAACCAGCCTGCTCCCTTTCCCTCTTGGCTGCTGGAGCAGCTACTAGCCCAGCTTCTGACCCCCACCCCAACAGTGTGGGGGGCCTAGGCTAGGCTCCAGGAAATCATCCCATTGTGGGAGGAAGGAGAGGAAGTGCAGTAAAGTTTTATGGACCCTTCCCACATTTGTTTCTCCTGCAAAGTGCTTCCTCCCTCAGCCCATCCCTGGAGCCTGGAGCTGCACAGAGCAGAGTAGACTTAGGCCAGCCTTAGGAACCACCCGAATTAGTTGCCTTCCTATGCTCCCAGTAGGTCTCCCTCCTTCTCCAAACAAAATCTTAGGAACGGAGATAAATGACGGCAAAGAGACATGGCTCTGCCCTTGCTCTGGGCAGTTCTCATCTTGGTTAATTTTCCTAGCCCTAGGAAACAGTCTGAACATTTCTGGCCAGGCGACTACCCCCAGCAGATTGCTTTCCCTGCTCCCCTCTCCCCTTGATAGCTTAGAAAGCTGAAGCATGCCTTGCCAATTCCCTCAAGCATTATACCTCCAAGCAGTACCAACTTTCTCTAGGGGATGTTTTTGGGGGCCAAATGAGTCCCTAGACTGAGGGCTCGGCCCTCCCTCTGTGTCCAGTAAGGCCCCTTTGAGGAGCACCTCACCCCCTGAGAGATTTTCAGAGGCCCAAAGGGCCTCAGTCTGAGTAAGCACCATGCACGGCGGAGCCACTGGTCCCTACGCATTAGGTCTGGCACGGAGTGGAAGCTACTGCCAGTCTAGAAACTTCAGATACCTTGGGCACCACAGGAAAGCCAGGACAAGAGGCCTGCTCTGTCCTTTTTCCCAAAAGGCCCTTTGTGGAATCAAGAATCAGCATAGGAATTCTATTTCACCTCCCCCTTCTTGCTGCCCTTAGAACACCTAAAAACATTTCTTTTAAAGGGGAGGCTTACAGATTTTGGGCCTCAACCCATTTAAACACTTAGTCAAACATGCCCTAAACAGACAGGAGCCGCTGCATCTTTAATTCCGTTCTCTCTTTGTCTTTATTTGATATGACAAAATATAGTTTCAGGAAGGATCCGGAGTCAATAAATAGTTGGGCAACAGCAAAGGGATACCAGGAAAAGAAAGTCATGACAGGAACTATGGGACAGCAAGGAGCCTCTAGGACCACTTGCTGGGGTCCAAATGGCAGAAAGCTCCAATAGCGGAGCTAATGATCAGGCTGGGGCTGCGGGCCTGAGAGGGCATGCAGCAGGCGAGGGCTGGGGAAGTTCCCCGACTTGGGGTAGGAGAAGAATATTTGGAGAATATAGGGCAAACACAAGGGCCCTAGGCCCATGTTCAGTCTTCTCCCTTTTTCATATGCAAATCATTAATAACTGAAGACCAAGTTTAGTCACTATGAGGAAGCACCCCAGGTTGGCAATGGACTCTGCCAGGCACAAGCACTCTCTCCTGTCTGTGGCTGCCTGGCCTGCTTAGCCAGAGACAAAAGAGAGCGGAGCCCGGAGGCTGGGCCCACCTTAACTCAGGCGGGCTTCACAGGGTATTGGGGGCCGGAGAGGTATTCCAGGCCCAGGTCAGTTCAGCACTGGCCTATGGTGCTCCCAGCCTTCTGGGAAGGCCCTGTAGAGGTTGCCCTGGGCCTCAGCTGAACTTTGCTGAGCTGAGGGGAGACAGGCAGAGCAGGCAGCCTCGGGGAAACCCTGGGTTAGTGGGGATGCAGAATACCAAGGAAAAACACTTTTGTCTGTGAGGCCCGGGAGCCAAAGCTCTAGCTCCTGACCCCCAACCCCAAAATAGATATAGAGAAAAACAGAAAAGGAAAGGCGCAGGGACGGAAGCCGGCTGGCGTGCTCTCCACGGGCTTTCCCGTAGCCTCTAAAGAGCCTCTTTGCTTTTCATTTTGGAATCTTTCTTCCACTTCATCCTGCGGTTCTGGAACCAGATCTTGATCTGTCTCTCGTTGAGACATAAATTGTTGGCGATCTCTATGCGCCTGCGGCGAGTGAGGTAGCGGTTAAAGTGGAATTCTTTCTCGAGTTCCAGAGTCTGGTAGCGCGTGTAACTGGTTCGGGATCGCTTGCCGTCCGTCTCTGGAACATAAATCCCCCCAAGCCAGGAAGGGGTGAATAGCGTGCAGCGCCCAGCATCCCATCCCAGTCCCAGGCCCCCACCCGCGGCCGAAGGGACAGGCCCGGC